ATTGAAGGGTGAATAAGAAAGACTTAATGACCTGCTTGTGGGATCCAGACGGTGTCTCATTGCCAACTGCTAGAAATCGAAAGAGATGATTAAAACTGAGACACAGTGGCTAGAGTGCAGTACTGCAGGCTACTTCTGCTGATCACCGGCTGCCAGCAGTTTGGCAGATCGAATCTCACCAGGCTCAAGGTTGATTCAGCTTTCCATCCTTCCGAAGTGGGTAAAATGAGAAGCCAGATTATTGGGGGCAATGGGCTGACTCTGTAAACTGCTTAGAGGGGGCTGTAAAAGCACTGTGAAGTGATATATACCGTATTTTTCGGAGTATAAGACGCACCTTTTCCCCTCAAAGAGGGTGAAAATCTGGGTGCGTCTTATACACTGAATACAGTATTTTTTGCTTCCCGAAACCCCACCCCCTTCACCAAAATGGCTGTGCATCTAGGAAGCTTATAGAGTGCTCCTGGGGGCTGGGGAGGGCAGAAATGAGCAAAAAACAGCCTGTTTTTTAGGAGCACTCTGCAAGCCTCCTAAAAGGTATTCATGCCCCCCCTCACCGCTTAAAAAAAAAACGGGCCAGTTTTCGTGAAAAAAACGGGCCATTTTTGAGAGGTTTGCAGAGTTCAAAAACTTTTTTTTTAATTTGCTTCTTCAAAACCTTGGTGCGTCTTATACTCCGGTGCGTCTTATACTCCGAAAAATATGGTAAGTGCTATTGCTATTGCTAAAACGGGTCCTTAGTCCCATCCAGTTAGACGATTCTCACGGAAAGCCAATCATTTGTCTCTCAGACCAGCTCACCTCACAGGGTTCTTGTGATGGAAATAGGAAGAAGGCATGGTTGGTATTTTGTTGCCTGGAGTTATTTATAAAAATTAAAGGGAAACAAACAAGCTGCATTGCTTTCCTTTCCTTGCAGATCCTGGTGGGAGGCCTATCATTCTCTCCAGGCACCCTTCACATTTATCCCGAGGCAGCCTTGCCTTTGCCAGCTCTGGTGGGCTTAGGGGCAGGAGGAAGCCTCCTTCTGGGGGCTATCATTGGGGTGTTGGTAGCTTACAAACGGAAGACACGAGATGCAGACCGTACTCTGAAGCGCCTCCAGCTGCAGATGGACAACCTGGAATCGCGGGTGGCTCTGGAATGCAAGGAAGGTACTGGCAGGAGTGGAAAATGAAGGGAGTGCTATAAAACTGTCAAGAAGTGGTCAGAGAGAGAGGGAGGGGGCATTGTCTTTGTTTCCAAGGCTGAAACGTTTCATCAATGTCTCCATTGGCACACAGCCCTGACTAACGTCATATTCACAGACGCAGTTCTCATACATCATAGTAAATCAGTCTAGAATTTTTTTCCCCAGCTCTTTATAACACCCAGGGCTTATTCCCCCAGCTAGTTTCGTTTGCTTCTTCTACACAGGGATCCTTTTGTTTTCCCGTTTTTACATCAAAACATATTTTGTACAGCCACAAAGTCGCGGAAGAATTCGCTAACGTTTCATTCCCTCTTCAGCTCTCCCAAGAGTTAAAAACTTTGGCAAGAGAGGAAGAGAGAGAGGGCACCTTGACTTCCATGCATTTGCATATGCATTTGCATATGTATCTGCATATGCAACAGACCAAGTTGTGACTCACACATTGGACAAATCCAAGCCAAGATCCCTTTTCTCTGCAGTATGGCACTGCCTTACGTCCGCTAACAAAAGTGAACAGGCCAGAAAACCAGACAGTAGGCAAAATTCACCAGGTGTGACTCACAATGCTGAATACAGGCAAGCCAATATATTTTTTCTTTGCAGTGTGGCAGTGCTTTACCTTTCACTTCACTAGCAAAAGCTGCCATGCTCGACTATGCAAAATTGTGTAGAGTCCTTTAAATCGGCTCTGATGATATCAAGAGTCTGATGATGTCATCTTGAATTGCCCCCCCCCCCCAAAAAAAATATATCATGAAAAGCGATGGCAAAGGAGGGAGGGGGCAGCAGTGGAGAGGTTCTGCTTAGACAAAATATCTTATCTAGCGCAATTTAAATTTATAAAAGGGAAAAACAAACAGGACTGCGCTGTAAAGTCGTTTGCACAGAAAAATAAGAATGTATATTTTGGACAAAAGAAAAGCTCATACTGAAAAGTGGAATGCCAAGGGTTGCAACAGTACTTTATTTTCATGCCTCTTAGATGTACAAGCATAAGGGTGTGTGTGTGTTTGTGTGTGTGCACGCATGCACACACACACACACTCACACACACACTATCCCAAGAGAACATCCTACAAGGTACACAAGGGCCAAGCAGAGTGCATTAAATGGCATTTCCACTTCAGCTGCATAGTATCCAAGACCAATTGTTAAGACAATCTGAGTCAGAAGATCCCAGGAGCATCCTTACCTCTCAATAACAAGGAAAAATACACTGACAATGCCTTAAAGATGGGGGTGATGAAGGGTGACCATGACACCCCAAACCAAGTGGTTTGAGGCAGCTCGGTCTAATGAGAAAACTGCGCGGCGGCATGCTATCATGCGCGCATACCCACTCAATCATCCCACCCACCTGAGCATGTGTGCATGACACACACATCCAGTGCGTACATGCGCAACCCCTCCCCAGACCCCGGAGGCTTTCCTGAAGCCTGGGGAGGGCGAAAACGGCTTCCCCTGGCCCTCTGGAAGGGCGAAAAATCAGGTGGCGGGCGCACGCATGCACGCCAGAGCTGATGGCTGGTGTGCAACCAAATATGGTTCTGTGTGCCATGGGTTCGCCATCACGGACATAGTGGAAGGATAGTAGCTTCAGAGGTGTGATGTGGTTCCAGGTGCCAGCTAGTCTCAAAGGAGAAATTAAAAATTTAAGATTCTTTTGCAAGAAGGCAACATGGTTACATGTTTCCAAAACGTGCACATGTAGTTTGTAAGCACGATGCTCTGCAGTCTTTTTCCACGTGGAATATATCTGTTTATTTTTGCTGCCTGATCTGACGAGGCAGGGCTATTGCAGGCCAAGGATGGCTTTGATGGTTAATCCTTTGGCTCCGCTACAGTCAAAAGAAGCAGAGTGGAAGGAAAAGTCCCTTTTGCAAACAACTCAACCCTTTTAACAGTCTTCTACCTTCTTCAGCTTTTGCTGAGTTGCAGACAGATATTAACGAGCTGACAAACAACATGGATGGCGTGAAGATCCCATTCCTGGATTATCGGACATATGCAAGGCGTGTGCTCTTTCCGGGGGTGGATGATCACCCGGCACTTCAAGAAACCAGTGTGAGTCCTTGTCATGGAAAAATGAGAGCCGCGTGATGTGCTGTCTTAACAATAGTATTAAGTTGGGGATAAATTGAGATTGGTTTATCCTGAGGTTTGGTACACCAAGGTCTTTATGTTTCGATATCTCTGGTATCATTGTCTCCTGAACTTGTCAGCTCAGATGCTTGTTGCTGAAATTATTGGCGCTGATTCTGCTCCTATGATGGATTGAAGAGTTCCTTCTTTTCACAGACCAGCACAGAGACCCCTTTAGTTTGTAGATAATGGCCATCAAGCTGAACTTCTTATTGCTCTTCATTTCCACTCTTGTTAGATCTACAAAGGTTGCATTCAAAAGCTATATTCTTAATAGTATAAAAGAGTGGAAGCAAACGGGGAAACTACCCTTTTTTATGAGATTATCTATCTATCTATCTATCTATCTATCTATCTATCTATCTATCTATCTATCTATCTATCTCTATCTTTGTCTTTCTGTCTGTCTATCTTCTATCACTCTATCATTTATCATCCCTCTTATTTATTTATCTATACCTATTTATCATTTATCATTGTCTGTCTGTCTATCGTCTACCTACCTACCTACCTACCTACCTATTGTCATCTATCTATTTATCGTCTATCCATCATCTATCTTCCTACCTACCTATCTATCTACCTACCTATCTATCTTCTATCTATCATCATCTATTTATCACCTATCCATCATCTATCCACCTATCCACGTATCCACCTACCTACCTACCTACCTACCTACCTACCTACCTACCTACCTACCTACCTACCTACCTACCTACCTACCTAC